TGTACATAGCTGGCATGCCTTCACGCACGCACGCCAACCAAATGATTAGCTCGTCGAGTGTTGCGTCGATCTCCAATCTCCCTGCGAGCCACAACGCCACATTCAGCTATCCGAGAGAGCAAACACAGCGACTGCGCGCCAGGTTGCTGCCTTTTGTCTGAATTATAGGCGCGCAATGGGCGTTGGATTAATGGCCAGAGAATGGAGAATCGTGGCATACGTTTTAGGCTGTATCTACGGATTGCGGGTGTCTACGAGGAAACGATTTCGTACGATGATGGGCGAATGTACTGTGTCCGATTTGAGCTCAAGTTGGATGAATTACGCGTAGTAAATAATAAACGCGTAGGTATTATAAGGCTAGTAAATGACGAATTTCCCTTGTTTATTGATGTCACACTCCTCCCTATTATCTACTCCTGATATATATGTATATATATATATGTTATTATGACCATTAATGTCATTAAAGTTGGGAACACTCCTAATGGAGTATCACCCTGTGTTTGTGTCACTGAAACCAAAGCCACACGCATGCTAAGGCCCTATGTGCCACGAATGGAGCAAAGAGGAAAAGGAAGTTAGCGATGTACAAGGCTATGTAATTGACACTAATCATTGTGCTACTTATGCAGGACAGGGGTTAGCTGAACATATTATGTGCAGTTACAAACAATTTATTGCTGGTCGTATGTTTAACCATGCATAAACCCATATATAATAGCACGTATACATGTGTTCCTAGTTTTATTGACGTTGATAAAAGTCTCATGTCAATACCTTGCTATTTTACCTGATTTCAGACACAATCTGGCAACAACAGTTGCACCTAGAGTGCTGGTGCCAGCCATTACACAAGGCTATACAAAACTGACCTCTACAGGGAAGGTATGGGTTTTCCTAGCTGCTGCTAAATGATTATAATTATGGAAAAATCATTTTTTACAAAAAACTGAATGCGCAGCAAACTTTCACCTATATTGCACAATATATATAATATTTATAGCAAATGTGTAACTTTAATTTCATGAATTATCTAATCTGGGCTTACACGAAAATACATTAGTATTCCGTTTCAAATCAGGCATTCGAGCATCATTTGTTGCGGGAGCTGAATGTAGTACATGATGTTGGATATGTGCTCTGAACACTGTGTGGTAAGTGTCCACCTTTGCTTCTTGCAGAAAGCCATCGGGTTTTTGATGTCGATTCTAAGTGAGCGTCTATCATCGATGTCCAAGGACGAACTGACTGGTCATCATCAACAGATCGTTAGTCTTTTCATGAATGTGCTAGACTTCCGGACACAGCATCCGACCGTAAGTGTTGCTGCCTGGCAACAAACAGTGAAAGTTGTTGTGCTGCACAATATGTGGCAGTCCTCTCTTAAGTTTCCTGTTTATGAAAAAATTTAAATTGACAGCGTTTACAAATGGGAAGTGTCTAACTCATAATGAGTAAAATGTACAGTAGTGATTGCTTATTGTCGTATAGATAAGCACTTGTGAGTGTGTTACATTCATAGTTATGCATCATTTAAGACTAGATTAAAGCTGTTTTCAACGTGAGTCCTTGTCGTTTCTACAGAAACCTATAACAAGTAGTAAATTAAGGTTATAAAATGTTTATTTTTTATGTATAACAGTTTTTGAATCATACAACAGTTAATGGACATTTCATGTGATGTTTGGATTAGCATTTATATATGGATATCATATTAGTGTGTGCTATACATATGTAATGTGCATCTTCCTTCTCCTCTTATGTACACGTGTGCTTTAATAATTCATTTTTGCAGGAATCCACTGATGTTATTATGGAAGTGGAAGGTCACGTGATTGAAGCCATTCTAGCTATGGTGATGAAGATGTCAGAGCAAACGTTCCGTCCTATGTTTTACAAGGTGAGATACAAGGTCATAGTCTAATCGCTCTTCGCTACAAGACAAGTTTCTCGTTAATAAACAAAATAAGAATAACGAAAAATAATCGTAATTGGTTGAATATCATATCATCTCTGTCAACAGTTGTGCTATTCGTGATCATTCTTACTAAGTCTAAATAGAATGTTCACGTAGTAGATTCATCTTTGGAAATGTTTGATGGGCTATTTTCCCTTTTCAGTTGTATGACTGGGCGACTAGACCAGAAACACCAAAGGACAGGGTACTGACTTTCTACAGACTGGTAGCCAGGTATATAAAAATTCATATTCTAATTGGAAATTATTATAAATAATGTAACAGCGTATAAAGAAGGAGAGCGTACAACGGTGAAATGCTGAAACCATGTTGCAGTATTAGTCGAATAAATAAACTTTCCCCGTTTTATTTTGACGATTCTTTGCAGTATTATTGATCAGCTGTCCTACCTTGCTAATATAAAACAAACCGCTTGTTCCTACGATGCCCCTACGCTGAGATAATGAGCGGTGAAAATCTGTTTTTTTCGCCGAAATCCGAATCAGATGACTAGGCACTGCAACCATCTCTCGCTTTGAGATAACTTTGGGAGACCTCGCGTGTTTCCGTCAATGATTGACAAATGGAATGAATGACGTCTGTTATTGATTGCCGTAGTGACGACCCCCACTTGTGCCCACCTCACGCCCACCTCACGCTGGATGTATAGTAAACTCTGGTAGTATGACGTGAGTCAGCGCTACCATGGCGCTACACGGCAGCGACCGGAAGCAACACACTGGCCACAAAGCGAGAGATGGTTGCAGTGCCTAGTCATCTGATTCGGATTTTGGCTAAAAAACCAGATTTTCACCCCTCATTATCTAAGCGTAGGGGCATCGTAGGGACAAGCGGTTTGTTTTATATTAGCAAGGTAGGACAGCTGATCAATAATACTGCAAAGAATCGTCAAAATAAAACTGGGAATGTTTATTTATTTGAATAATACTGCAACATGGTTTCAGCATTTCACCGTTGTACGCTCTCCTTCTTTATACGCTCTTGATTATTACAATTAAAATAGGTCCATGTACAGCATATTATGCAGTATTCCTATAACTTGTTACATTATTCCAATAAAGCCAAGGTTGTATTTGCTGCATATATTATAGTTGATTAGTAATTATTGTCATATCATTTTCCAGCATTGCAGATAAGTTGAAAGGACTGTTTGTACTTTTTGCTGGCCACCTCGTGACCAATGCTGCAACACTTCTAGCTACAAACAACAGCATTAACACAGGTAGGATCGAGGGACTCAAACTATTATCTATAATGTCGAAATTTCTCAATTCTCATCTTGTGCTGAGAAACCAATGCAGACGAGTGTTGGGTGTAATTTGCTTTCTGTTAGTGGTATTCATGCTTTTGTTAATCATTTGAGATGTCTTGATGTGAGCTTGACACATGATATTGCGTTGGATTCTGATTGTCCATACTTAGTGGAAGAGCCAAAGCTGTTTTACTAAGATTTGTTGGCTGTATGTTCATCAAAGATTAGAAAGAAAGTTCACAAGCGCTTCGGCTTAAATATGTTTAGCAGGAGCAGAAATTTAGCCTACTCATGAATATGAAAACCACAATAAAAGCATTCAATTTTTTATCGTTGTATACGTGCCCATCTGTTACAGACGAAGCTTACTTTGACGAAGATGAGGATGATGCAAGTGAGCAGAAGAGTGTTGTTCTGCTGGGTTTCATCCTCTCCTGCCTACACAGCTGTTTCCTGTATGACACCCAGGGCTTCGTAAACAAGGAGAGATTCGAAGCCCTATTGCATCCACTCGCTGACCAGGTATGACTAGTTTATCTTCATAGTGGCGGGGTAAAGGCAAGTGATGCTACTCTGGGATGTGTTATATTTTTTAGGTAAATGTGCAATGTAGAACTTTTTAAAATGAGAGCGAAACAGTGAGAAATCAGTTACCCTGGTCTGTGTAAGACACTCCACTGTCTATATTATCAATCAAATAATGATAATACTGTTAGGTTTATGTTGTTACGTAGTTGCTAAGTCTAAACTTGTGTTTGTTGGCAGTTTTCAAGCACCTTGTGCGTTTATACTTTCTAGTTGGAGAATCTCTGCGGTGGAGAAGAGCTGTACAATGCTAGAGTAGAAGAACACTTGGTACCGTGCCTCGTCCAGTTTGCTGTAGCAGCCTCTGATGACTCCCTCTGGAAACAACTGAACTACCAAGTTCTGTGGAAGTCAAGACATGCCTCAGCTACAGTGAGTTGCTGTGACTCTTATATTAATTGTGACAAATTTTTTTTTCGGAGCTTGGGGTAACACCTTATGTGGGCATGGTGGGTCTCTGTTAGTATAGAGATTGTATGTGCAGGTGATCATGATCAGGAAGTAGAACTAAAGCTGTTGGTTTTTAGGTGCGGCTGGGGGCGTTGAAAGTGGTGGAACAATTCACGCACAAGTTAGGGGAAGAATATATGAATCTGCTACCAGAAACGCTGCCGTTCCTTGCCGAACTTATGGAAGGTATGTGTATTGCCAGAGCTCACAGGTCACAGTAATGAATGGTCAAAACGCATTGCTACAATGTTAATACCATAAATACATGCGTCGATTCTGTAATGTGTTCATGTTAATACTTCTTAAACAAGCTTTTTGGTTAAATTTTACCCATTTTCAAAGATATTGTTCAGTTGTATGTCGTAGTTTAACAACACTCAAACAAATCACCCGTAGAATGAGTGCAATACTGTCACACGTGTTTGGTTGGCTTTCCTTCTTCTATACCATAGGCTTATGAAGTTTATATGACAAGGTATTGATAATATTAACAGTACAGGTTGGCTGATGTACCGGTTAATGTCAATTGTGTTTACTATTGCAGATGAATCGTTAGAGGTGGAGCGATACTGTCAAGACGTTGTTCAACTGATGGAGAAGGTTCTAGGAGAGCCATTACAGAAATACTTCTGATAGTGTGGTCTTCCTTTTAGTAACGAGATGGTAGTAGTCATAGAAAATTACTGTCTACAAAATATTGTTTCTTATTTTAGAGAACTGGGTCCAATTGTCACTCATAGTAAGCAAAACATTAATTAAATATGTAAACTGAAAAATGTGACCACTGAAATTTGGAGTATAATGAGGAGCAGATTATGTAAGTTCATATGTACTGTAGTTAATATTGTTAGACATGTGTGAAAAAAACACACACAAAAAACATTTGTTTACAACAGAATTTTTTATCTTGGTTCTCTTTATAACATACACAGTTCAGTTGTATAGTTGTCAGCATATTTGATAACAAACATATTACTCTGCGATCATGCCATAGATATAGCATTACACAAATATTACTAGATAATATGGGTGCTTTTATTCTCTAGAAATGCGTTGTAATCACGGAGATCATGATTAGCAATCACTTACTAGTAACGATCATACTCGCGAATACTGAGCGTCTTATTATTACCTATACCGTGACAACAGCAGTAACGGCCATGTTTGTTCAAATACATTCAGAGAAAATGCCACGACTTCAATTTGCCAATATTGTGTTTGAACAATGCTGGCACATTTTATTTTAACATACATGTGTACAATTTTTGGCATCACTGATTCCCCCTCCTTTTACTTATGTCAAAGCACGGTGGTCTCGCTTCTTTACTAGGACACAAGGATGAGAATTCTCACGTGATACAGTCATGGGTTTTCCTACTGATACACCTGCTGCCACACATCCCAGTAGAGCTGTAACCCGCAACTGACCACGCACCACGCTCCATATTTTGTTTACAGTTACGTGGACTTGATCCCAGTAGATGCCTTGATGTACCTTGCATCTTGCCGCTCTAGTTACAGCCATGCAGACAGTCCTGGTTAATGCCATTCACCCTGCACCCTCTCCGGCACGCGGTCACGGTGTACGCTTTACCGTGCCGATTTTTCTCAACGACCGCTTTCGAGAGAACATCTTTTTCTCTACGCCCACGGCCTCCTCGGGTGGCAACGTCTGGAATATGTCGTCGGTCGGATTGACTTTGTACGTGTTGCCTTGCTTGGCATGTCTCAACTGATGAGCAGTCTTCGCATCCTGCTTGTTCTTGTACTTGTCGGCCGTCGATAGTTTCAGCTGCTTGCGATACTGCAACATGAGGAGGTGGAAGTCAATGTCAGACCAGGGTAAACCTTGTTAGCTGATGACCGACTGCGTAACACCTAACATGGTCATCAGTGAGTACTTACACACATGACAACCACTGGAAATTTGCGATGAAAAAACGGCCATCTTGAAATTATCACAGAAACGCGTGTAGGATTATGAAGTTATCCCATTAAAACAAATCATTTCGTGATAGGTAGGCTATATCCACATCCATACAGCAATACCGTACAATAATCATACAGACATGCAAATCCAAGAATTGAAACTAAACTAATGTATTGTTAGACAGCCACTTCATAACCCTTTAAACACTTAATGAGCTAACTAACAATAAACAAAATAATAGAATTACGAATATTCAACATGCCTGATTTGGAGAAATGTACTGGGGATTTTCAAACAAAGTTGGTCCTCCAAAGCTTCCCTCAAAGATCCTGATTGGGTTTAAAACAAACCGGGGTCCTGTGAATAGATAGATGGCAGATGCATTACTCATTATTCACAGACTAGACCCTAGCACCTGAAACCATATGCAATCACTTTGATAGTGGTCTAGCCATCCTCACTCATCTGTGCGTGTGTGCGTGCATGCGTGTGTGCATGCGTGTGCGTGCACGTGCATATATTTTTCCTTCAAAGAAAGTCAACAACAGCGAGTAAGATTAATTTCTACCTTTATACTGTCATCACCCTGTTACACATCCATTGTTGCCTGAACCTATAGCTAAACTGAAATCGCCAAATAGTTTCCCACTTTGGGGCAATGCCAGTCAACTCATTTTTTGTAAATAAGGTGCCACGGTTTGGTAGAATGAACCATATCTGTATCGCTGCCCTTCAGCACCGCTCACTAATTCACACGCACCGATTTCAGCTAAAGATCCATCTTCCTCTAGTATCTGATAGTTGCGGAACCATATTCGGTTGTCAAGTATTGAGAAGGTCAGGACGTGGTCCACAAACGGCTGACTCTTCGGATGGTGATTCGGAGTGCTGAACGTCTACAATGAAAACATCGGAAAATCAGCGACAAGAAAACGGGCAACTAGTAGTTGCTACGCGACAGCTTTTTTTAACAAAATTCCGACAGATTTCATACACACTTATAATAACACTTACACAGTTACAGAGATGCCACAATATAGTTCAATTCTTGAAAATGTGTTGTAGAAACTAGCTCTTACCTGAATGAAGATTTCCTTTATGATTGCATAATGTGGCTGTGTGTCAAAGTTCTGTAACAGGTAGATTGGTAACAATACAGACATGAATCTAATTATCCTACATGTGTTTGATACATTAAGGAATAATGACATTATTTTAAATGATTGGATATTTCTAAGATGTTCGTACGGTTTTAAGAACCAATTTATAATAGGGACCAAGTTTCAACTTCTGGTCTATATACTTGTTACTTATATTAATTGTCGATATTGCATCATTAGAACTGCAGCTATGAAATAGCATTGAATCTTGTTTAATTTTATTCAATCTTCAATCTGCCAAGTGATATATTTTATAATAGTCAAGCAAAACAACTTACATAACATAAATATTGAGATCAATACCAAGAATGCCACTACCACCAAGATGTAATAAAGCAAAAATAATGTATAATACATCCTAAACTTCTAGCTACTTCATACCTTGTCAAAAGACAACAGTGGTCTAGATCCTTTCAAACAGTTGCCTGTCATCTTTAATTCTTCCATTGTATGAACTGTCCAAACAAATACAAGAAACATTACTTCCAACAACTATCTACCAGCACACAGAATTCAACAATTTATTGGTAAACATGCAGAAAGCATCAGTGTTGTCCAACGTCAATGGAAGTATTAAATATTAATACCATTCTCAATTAGAAACTTCACTGATGGTCCTCTGGGAACACTGGACACCCTGCAGATATAAATGATAAAATACATAAGCGTACATACAGTAATAAAATTAACTAAAGCAAGCATGCAGACAACTGTCAGCTGTGATTCTCTAGCACTGAACTACCTTTGGTCTGAATATAACTTTAACTTAGAGGATGTATAATGCATATGCAGTCAAAACTATGTAATGTCAGGGGTGCAATCGCTTTTATAGAATGAACATTCCTTTATGAAGGACACATGGCATTTCCATTGAGGTGAATAATACATTGAAGTCATCTCTATAGAATGGACAGTTATTACAGGTTTGACTAGTTTATTTAGTCTTCCCTTAAATGCAAATTCTTTGCATGCCTCCAAAGGGGTTATAGCTACTCGAGCAGTAATTGCATAAATATCTACATTCTGCCTGCATGATCACCCATTTGAGCGATCACACAAATCCCACACACAATACACACTTGGTATGATCAGCTTTCCTAACTTATAGTACAGCTCACCACATGTAAAGATCCTTCTTCTTCTTAGCTTCAAAGAATATACATTTGTTGCAGTTCTTCATCTCACAGATCTGAAACAGTAGTATTAACAACCCAAACTGATGCTACTTAGTAAAATTATGCATTCTCCACTCTACACGAGTATACAGCCAATATATATATATATTTATATATATTTATATATATATATAGCATTAGACTAACAACTACTACATGTAACAATGTACCAACCTCATTAACTACAAGCAATTTGTCCTTCCGGTCCATCTTTGTATCTGCAAAGACAGAATGTATATTCGACATTCATCAAACACACACACACACTCACACACACACACACATTATATCATATAGTGCTCATTAATGTATCTTCACCAAAACATCTTTTTTACATTGACCCTTTGATCTGGTTACTCTCCGTGTAATCATTGATGATGATGGTGATGCTGGGAAATACTTTGATCGTTACGAATTGTATCTATTTAGATGGCGGTAAGTTACCAGGTTTAGAATGAGGCAAGAGAGTTCTGAGGTCTGACATTAGGTGACGATCCCTGAAGGATATTCCCCTCGATGAAAATATCAGCACTCTTTGCTTGTTGATCCATTTAGGCTGGAAAAATATGACTGACAATATTAGACTGTGGAATACAATGTGAAAAAATATGTAGGGCTTTTACTAGAAGATATTTTGTTTTCAACGTACAAGGTGCACAAGCCAAAGTACGCAGCTAAATTCGCAAACTAGCTTCTGATGAAACCATGAATATGGAGCCATAATTACTATTTAAGTTGACAGAAAGAACTAAACGAATCATCAGTGATGACGGTACTACTAGTACTAGTAGTAGTACTTTACTATTGCTGATAGGGTCTATGTCCCCCAGGGACCAGGGTACTGCCGGAACGTACCCTGGGTACGGTCCGGTATACTGGAACGTACCCTGGTACTAAATACTACTATCTAATATGCCGGACCGTACCTCGCCTACTCCACTAACGAGTCTAGGGAGTCGCCTACGCCCACTCCCTAACCATATCAGCTAGATAGTTACCAGGGTACGTTCCGGCAGTAACCTGGGGGACATAGACCCTATGAGCTTTACTATTACTTATTAGTACAAATTAATAATAAAATGTTAATTAAAAATGATTAAGCATTGCAATTAAAAAAGAAAGATCGTGGGTGGTATTTGTTCCATCTCAAAAGTCAACTGCCTATTTCCAGTTGCGGTTGAACGTACGGTCTCCTTTGGTAATTCCCTACAGCCTAGTACTACTACAGTACTACACAGTACACTCTACAGCTACAGAGTACAGGTGTTGATTGTCGCACGCAATTTATAGGAAGTGGCTATTCTACGACCAGTCGTAAGAATTATTTATGGACTATTCTTACGACATGCAAACGCGCATGCGCATGCGTTGTGTATGTCGTTATACACTATAGATTGTTTTTTGTAAGATATATTACGTATATAACTTATAAGGAAATCGAGTAGGTTTATAGTTAATGTTAGTGTTGCAGATGGGGTCGTTGCCGTATCAGGTACTACAGTCCAGATATGTACCCGAGGTAGTTTTAGGTTGTTTAGTATTATGTTTATATTTTTATATGAGGTATGTTTAGGGTTAGGGTTAGGGTTAGTGTTAGGTTAGAATACACTTCTGTAGTACAAGTCTGGTACACTTTGTGTATACATATATTATATGTATCTCAGGTACATTCTGTATAGACCGAATAATTCTGTCCCATATAATCTTTTTTTATATTTTGGTGAGGGTTATTGGATAGAACGGGGTTCATTGAAATTTCGTGAGATCGCATGCAAAATGCATGCGCTGCGAATGCGGGCCCGTACGCCGCTATTGCGAGAAAAAAAAACCTACCATTCCTTCTACATGACTTTACCTTTGCTACTGATATGTGTATACATTCCCTTCTTAAAAGATTGTTTTTCAGAACCCGCGTTCATTTAACTTTAGTAAATTACGTTCCCATTTACAACAATCAGACCAATCAGAGCGAGTCTATCAGCCCTCCTGCAGCGGCCACAGATACAAACGAGAACCAGGGGCTATATTGTAAGACTCGCTCTAATTGGTCTGATTGTTTGTAAATGGCGAACGTAATTTACTAAGTTAAATGAAGCGGGGTTTCTGAAACAATCTTTTAAGAAGTGAATAACGATGAGTGAATGTATACACATATCAGTAGCAAGGTAAAGCCATGTAGAAGGGAACGGTAGGTTTTTTTTCCCGCGCCAATAGCGGCGTACGGCCGCATTCGCAGCGCATGCATTTTGCATGCAATCTCACGAAATTTCAATGAACCCCGTTCTGTCCAATAACCCTAACCAAAATATAAAAAAGGTTATATGGGACAGAATTATTCGGTCTAATATCTGTTAGTCTGAGCGTTAGTGTTAGTGTTAGGGTAAGGGTTAGATACAATAATGTAACCCAAACACAGGGTAGGGTTCAACGCGTCGCTATGGTTTTCTGTGGAGGAAATTCAGGGAACCCCTGAGTGAATCACTCAGGGTGGTTTGCTGGTGCGTTTCAGAGACTAGAAACTTCCAAACTGGGTTTATTCTCAACACGAACCTTTCTCCGCTATCTTGGAACTTACTATGTATCACAATACTCTGTATTAAACTAATATAACTGTTACAAAAATTCGAAGTGACGAGCGGCGAATATACTGAGCGCGCATTTCTGTTGACCTGTGACGTACTTCGGTTTGAAGATCGGATTCACCGACCAATCGGAGGCGCGCTGCTGTTTGCCGATCGCTATGCGCATTGGGAATGCGTACGTCACACCCCGCTCGGTCGCTTCGCTCATCTCGCATCTCACTCTCAACTATCAGCCAATGTTGGCAGACCTGGGTTAGGAGTAGGTGTAGGCGACTCCTAAACTAGTTATATTACTATTAACTATTATGCGCATGCGCGTTGCATGTCGTAAGAATAGTCCATAAATAATTCTTACGACTGGTCCGTGGTCGTAAGAATAGGCACGGCCTAATTTATACGTAACTCGTAAGCGGTGTCGGTGATTTATGCTGGCCGTCATACTAATGTCTACTCCGATCTTGGGCAATGGGTTTACTGGGATCGCTAACCTTTTTCTGGTGGGGATCATCAGAGTGTCTGACTGGTTTTATCTTAACCTCCTGTTTTGGAATTTTAGCTGACTTTTGTTGTAATTTCTCAGCAGCATGTAAACGCTTGCGTTTCGCCATCTTGGAATGAAGTAGGGCACCAAACTATTTCAATCATCGCCACACGCCACAAGTCAAGTTGCTGATATTATTGTAATGACATTATTTATTGACAACTCAATATAATAAATATTCATTCTCATGTAATAACATGTTATGAATATCCGGATAATTGCTGGAACAACTGTTTATACGTGTTAAAAAACATTGTAAACATTGGGTGCGGACTTACAAAGTGAAAGTGTTGTCTTTTCCCCAGCGTTGTTTCTCTAATGTGTTGCGTTTATCCGTAACGATTGAATTCATTTCGATCTTCTAAGGTACTTTTATGTTTAGATCAGTTTTACGCCTCGTTTACAAGTTGTTCGAGAACTACTCGCAATATTGTTGTATTTCATTTAGGTTCAATATGTTTTACTGTTCCTCACTTCCTGCAATCTGCATCAGACTCAGTGCATGACACTGACTAGATACAATAATGTAACCCAAACCAAGAGGATAGGGGGATCCCCCCCTATCCTCTTGGGTTTGGGTTACATTAGTTGTATGCTAGACACTGACGCATCATAGATTACTTACGGCGCAAACTTTAGCTTTAGGCACCTTAGGTATCACGAAGTGATGCACAGATTTCTGTGTATCATCAACTGATGCACAGACTTTCCGTATTTCAAGGAATGATGCAAAAACCCTAACCCTAACCCTAAGTGACTAAGTCATAAAGTATAACCTTAGGCTTAGGCTTAGGTATCACGAAGTGTGTTGGGGTAGTTAGGGTTAGGGCTAGGGTTAGGGTTAGGGTTAGGGTTAGGGTTTTTGCATCATTCCTTGATATACGGAAAGTCTGTGCATCAGTTAATGATACACAGAAATCTGTGCATCACTTCGTGATACCTAAGGTGCCTAAAGTGGATTTGCACCGATACTTACCCCAAGACGCACTGACAGTATCCGTGTGTCGTGTGTCGGATATCGGTGTCAATGTCAATGCCATCAATATTATTATTGATGTATGTGTCGTAGCGTGTAGTGCAGTAGAGCGAGCTCATTGCCAACAGATATAGTAACTACCGGCGTATTAAAGGAATAATATGTCCATTGATTATGCAAGCAGCAATGTTGACGAATGCTAGAGTAACTGGCACCTTGTGTAGTTAGTAAGGGTGCAAATCCACTTTAGGAACCTTAAGCCTGGCGCACATTGCCTAACATTTTCCCGAACAAATGTTCGTCTGAACAAATGTTTTTGTCTGGCAATGTGCAGGTGAACAATTGCTGAGAGCACATTGCGAACATTTTGGCAGCAAACAACCTCGTGGCCCCATCTAGTAGCTGTGTTGTAAAGAGTCACGTGATCAGTCGGTGATTGTGCACAAAAATCATGTGACCACATATCGTGCTGCTATTGGTTACTACTTTACAAATGTTCCTAGAATTGTTCGACATTCAGCGCACATTGACGAACATTCGACGAACAATGTTCGAGATATCAAACATTTCCGGATCTTCAGAAACATTGTTCGGAACAAATGTTCGGCGACTTTTTTCACCGCACATTGCTTGAACATTTCTTTGGAACATTGCTACGATAATGTTTTGAGCAAAATGTTCGCAATGTGTGCCGGGCTTTAGGTATCACGAAGTGATGCCACAGATTTCTGTGTATCATCAACTGATGCACAGACTTTCCATATATCAAGGAATGATGCAAAAACCCTAACCCTAACCCTAACACACTTTGTGATACCTAAGGTTTTACTTTATGACTTAGGGTTATGGTAGGGTTTTTGCATCATTCCTTGATATACGGAAAGTCTGTGCATCAGTTTGATGATACACAGAAAATCTGTGCATCACTTCGTGATACCTAAGGTGCCTAAAGTGGATTTGCGCCGTTATGAAGTACATTACCTTATAGCCAAACGCGTATTAATTTGTCCAATATCTCTGCTGGTTACATTACAAGCAAGACTTGAAATCAGTTGTTGATATCATTTTACGTGCCGTAAACGTCATCCAGGAGTCGAGCCGATAAGTCGCCGATGACGTAAACATTTGTGCGGGCCGCGTATGTTTGTGACGCGGCAGATGAAATGGAGGTGTCGCTGTGTAACCACGGCACGGACTAAACATGGAAATGGAGTAAAACACCACGTACTAATCACGGACGCACATGGACAGCCTGACAAAAAGTTCCTTATCTACGAACGTCCATGTTTACGAATCACTGATGATAGCATTGCGTACGGCCGACAGTGTTGTAGGTCTCGGAGGCCGGTCTTGGCCTCGAGACCGGCCGCGAGACCGTTTTCCTTGGTCTCGGTCTTGGCCTCGGAGTGCAATGATTCGGACTCGACTCAAGCCTCGCGACTCGAGGACTCAGCGTCGTGGCGCGCTCGAGCCCACTACATACATAGCTACACAACTGTACATATTGTAACACGCAGTTTTACAAGAATTTAAAACTAAAACTCTTAGGTTTCTAGATACACGCCTAATCTTGTAACGTTTTCAATGGCTCGGATTAAGATTCTTTTCTTTTGATTTGAATCTGCTGTCACTTCTTCCGTATGCGCTTTTTCTACCACTTCTTCTCTTCTTCTACCACTTCGAAGGTAAGTATCAGCATCTCTCATTTGGTTCAACAAGCCGTGTAATTCTCGTAAAACACAATGGATCCGTTACTTTTACACGTTTTGTATGACTCGTGTCTCTGTGTTTTTGGCTGACTTACACTTTCGAATGTCTACGATGCACTGTTGCAATTTTTTCTCTTTTGTCCCTTTTTCCGATTTTTTTCCGATTTTTTCTCGATTTTTTCGCTTTTTCTGATTTTCTCCCTATTTTTTATCAAAACTGGAGCTCGGGGTGCGCGGACTCGACTCGGGGGGGGGGGGCGGACTGCGACAACAACTTGACGGCCGAGCATGCGTGCGAAAATGTCCGGATGCACTATAAATCTGTATCACACCCGCTTTGCCTGCTACGGTTTGAAACTGTACACAACTCAGTCAACTGATTTCTTGGACTGCGAATTTCAATTAGACATTTCTTAGTAACCAGCAGTGATATTGCAGCAAAACTAATACGTGTTGGCTATAAGTACTAAAACTACAAAAGGTTGCCAGTTACTCTAAGCATTTGTCAACATTGCATAATCAATGGACATATTATTCCTTTAACTAATCTATAACTTTAGCTTACATAGTATTTCGCTGTATCACTGTCACCAAGGGCAGAGTCTAAGGCTTCAGGAGATGGGGGGATTGAAATTTGAGCGATGGCGGCCGAAGGCCACCGCTATGCTAGGGTTGGTCGGGGCATGGCCCTATCGCACCTGGAAAATTCAGGCGGCTGTTGTCACAGGGGAAAATCCCCAGCTTTCTATCAGCCGCCGACTGACTTTTTATTTTTTGGTCGCCTATTTACTAGTATCATAACATTAGTCAGTGGCTGAAGTGGGGGCGGAGGTGCAACGCCCCTCCCAACCCCCCTCATAGATTCGCCACTGATCACCCACTGCTGGTGCAATGGGCTAATAGTTTGCTCACACAAGTGGTGTAGGAAGTGGTGAATGTCGGGGTAGCCACTACGCGGAATAAAAATATACATTGGCAGATACGTAGTTAGTTAGTGTACGTGTGTTTGATTTCTGTGTTCACATTATTGTTGTGCGTTATTCCATCACCTAAACACTACAATCCAGGTTCGCCTCGTGTGCGTAGCGGAAACTTCATAACGCATTGTTCTTCACAGTCAGAGAAATTGCACAATTATTTATACTCGCAAATGAGAAAAATCATTAAGTCAGCTGTTGGCTCTTATAAAAAAATACCTGCCGCACTTTTGGTTTCGCAGGGCCAGATAGTTTTCATTAGTAGGCCGTAAGTATTATTTATGACTGGCTATTTGGTTTAAATTGTATGGCTTACAATAGCCATGTGCACTATTCATGAGAATTGTGCGTTGCATGGTAGGGGTGTAAACGATTCCCGATACCTCCATTTTGTATCTGATGTACACAAACACCATGCACCCAGCCGCCCCCATCATGCACACACACACTTTCATTGTGCACAGCCTAGCAAATCAGCAGGAATGCATCTTGCTACGATAGTTGCATTGTCTAGACGGAGTCATTTAAATGCAAATGGCCATTACTGCTTTGCGTCAAACTGGCTTTCAAACTTTCACCCAGATGCCAGGGCCAGAAGAGGTCGTCCAGTTTTTTTTTTTTATTTTTTTTTTTAGTTTGGCATGAGTGCTAGTGGGCAACAGAGCTACGCGAAACCTGGGGTGTCAGCTGGTGACCTGGATCATTCGTTGTGCGGAGGAGGCAGGAGACGGTCGCCAAGTGCAACCAGGTGAGTAATCACAAATATTCACAAAATCGACGATATATATAATATTGAAATATCAATAGGTGAGTGATCACAATATCCAGCGTGTTGGCAATCAAAATTGTATTTAGCATGGTATCATTTTCTAAGCACTGGTTGCATGTATTCGTTTTGACCATGACAGTCTGAACACAGCGCAGTGCTGGCAATACATACTGGCTACTTGCATGTTAAACGCGCCTATAGCTAATTATAGGCTGCTTGATTATAACTTTGTGTTGCAATCGTTCTCGTGCGGTATTGGGGTCTAACCAAAGTT